CCCCAACTGCCCTCCCTTGCCAGCCATCTTGTGGCGGTCATCTTGTGCAATGGTGTGATGGTCAATTTGCATATTACCTCTTTATTATAGGATATTGGATAAACATTTTGATGATGCAGGAATTGTAAATGCTGATGGAGAGATAGTAAATAGTTAAGAGATTTAGAAAGCTAATTTGTTTCCTTACCCCATCCTTGCGTAAGCCACTGTGGGTTAATTTACTGCTCATATAGTTTACAAATGTAAGGAACAGGTTGCTCATCTGATAGCCTTCTGACTTTGGGTCATTTGCTACTCCCATGGCCATTTCCCTTACCATTTAAAAAATATATTTTTTAAATTGATTTTTAAAAAGAGAGGAAGGGGAGGTGAGAGAGAGAGAGAAACATTGATGTGAGAGAGAAATATCGATCAGATGCCTCCTGCACACCACCCCACTGGGCATTGAGCCCCAAACCCTACAACCTCTCAGTGCACAGTAGGATGTCCAGCCAACAGCCCCACTGGCCAGGGCCATTTTCCCTACCTTTGATTATTAAAATTTACCTCTCAGCTATTAACTTCAGTAACATCTACAACACTGTTTTCAAACTGCAAATTGTGACCAGTAGTGGGTTGTGAAATTAGTGTAGTGGGTGATAACCAGCATTTTTGAAAAGTCTAATATGATAGAAAAATAACACTGGATCACATATAGTAAGTCTTGTTTTGTGACAACTATTATAATTATGTAGGGAAGTGAAATTCCTTTTTTCTACTATCATCCTAGGTTATCTGGCTGGGGCCCTGTGGATTGGACTGACAAAAGACAGATTAACAAGAGCAAAACAAAAGTTTATGTTTACACGTGGGAACACTCAGAGATGAATAATAACAGGGTTGGTTAGAACTTGGGCTTACTAGTATATGACATTTTAGCAAAGGAACAAAAAATTTTTAAAGAAGTGACAAGATTGAGTTTCTAGGGCTGTAAATTGTGGGAAGGCAACTATTTGAGAAGCTAATAGTAAAGTTTGTTAGGTAGGTTCCTCTGGTGCCATCTCCAGATGCGTCTAAAGTCATCTAAGGTGATTAACTTTTGTCCTTCCTGGTACAGAAGGAAGGAGGTGAAGGGAACCTTTATAGATTTACTAGAGGCCTGGTGCACGAAATTCGTGCACTTGGGATGGGGGGGGGGGCACCCTCAGCCCAGTCTGCTCCCTCTAGCAGTCCGGGAGCCCCATGATTGATTGCCCCACAGAGGGAGGCCCCGCCCACCAGCTGCAGCGCAGCCAGCCGTGTAGCCTGGGCCTCTCTCTTTGGGGCGATCGATTGCAGAGCCCCCCAATTGATCGCCACTCCGGCTGGTAGCCTGGGCCTCCATCTGCGGGGCAATTGTGTGGCGATGGCCCCCCGACCAATCGCATTGCACCTGCCTTGGCTGGCCTGGTGCCAGTGCGTGTCATAGCATGGTTGTCCTGATGGTCGTTCTGCTGTTCGGCCGTTTGGTCGATTTGCATATTATGCTTTTATTATTATAGATGTCCTGCTTTTATGCAAATAAGTAGAAGACAGAGAGCTTTTCTTTTTTTTCTGCTTCTTAGTTGTTTTTAGCTCAAAATAGTTCTTATGCCAGAGTGGCATATTTTGAGATGGCATATTCTGCTCCCTACAGAATCTATGCATACATGTGCTGGGTCATGATGTGAAAATAATCCTTCCTGTAGATTACAGTGAAAAAAATGGAAAGCCACTGATTCCAAAAATTTGCAAAAGCAATATGAGCTGCATGTTTTTTAGTTATTAAAACAAGCTAAGATTTTATTTATTAACTTTGGGAAGAAACAAACATATTTCAGTTTTTATATATATACATATATATATTTTATTGATTTTTTACAGAGAGGAAGGGAGAGGGATAGAGAGCTAGAAACATCGATGAGAGAGAAACATCGATCAGCTGCCTCCCACTGGGGATGTGCCCGCAACCAAGGTACATGCCCTTGACCAGAATTGAACCTGGGACCCTTGAGTCCGCAGGCTGATGCTCTATCCACTGATCCAAAATGGTTAGGGCCATATTTCAGTTTTTTAATTAGAAAATTTTACCTTTGTTTTGTCAGGTAATTTTAGAATGCATTTTGAAAATTTATAAAATTTCTGATAGAATAAATACTGGATTTGGCAACCTTCTTGAATTTTAATTCTCTTTCAAGATTATTGTGACTCTTTGAGAGGGCATGGAGGGATCTGGAAAGTATTAGGCTAAATGAAATAAGCCAGTCAAAGAAAGACAAGTATCACATAATCTCACTGATATGTGGAATCTAATGAATAAAATAAACATGAACAAAATAGATCTAGAGCCATAGAAGCATGGAACAGACTGTCAAATCTCAGAGGGAAGGCAGGGACAGGTGGGTGGGTGGGAAGAGATCAACCAAAGAACTTATGTGCATAACCCATGGACACAGACAGTAGGGTGATGAAGGCCTGGGGCAGGCTAGAAGAGGTCAGTGGGGGGAAGGGGCTATATGTAAAGCTTTCAACAATAAAGATTTAAAGTAAAATAATTATTTACATGTGCAGTATGTGTCCGTAACAATAATATCCCAATAATGAAATTCTTATATTTAAGAAATGCCAGTTTGATGAAAGTTAAACAAATTGGGTATATTTCATTATCTTACTAGTATACTATTCAACTAAAAATTAATTTGGTTATCAACTAATTAGAAACTCTTTACATTACAGTGTTAACAGAGCCTTCCATCTTCCATAAAAAGCTGATATTTCAGAATAAATTCAAACTCCTCGGAGTTTTTTAGTTCATTTAGTTGAAACTTCTATACATTGTTGACAAATTTTAATTCTGTACTAAAATATTTACAATTATACTAATGTAATTTATTTCAGATTAAATTTAGTGGAAGCTTTTGTAGAAGATGCAGAATTGAGACAGTGTTTACAAGAAGATTTACTTCGTCGATTCCCAGATCTTAACCGACTTGCCAAGAAATTTCAAAGACAAGCAGCAAATTTACAAGATTGTTACCGACTCTATCAGGGTATAAATCAACTCCCTAATGTTATACAGGCTCTGGAAAACTATAAAGGTAACAAAATGATTTTGTTTTTGTTTTCCTTCACTCTTGATAAATTTAGCAAATGTGTTGTCCTTATATAGCGAATGTGGTTCTGATAACTCTAAATTTTTCTAATTACAGGTTTACATTGACCTATAGCTCGTTACAGAAGTCATGAGACAACTTAGAATTTTTGCTTTTTAGAAATGAATGCTAAGGTTACTGCATTTATTAATAGGCCTATTGCACCAACAGTGGCCGTTGAACAGGGCACAGTTGCTAAAGAAGACACATAGGACCCAAATCTACAGTTTGCCTACAGGAAAAGGGTTCAGTCTAACAGCACTAAAGTAAAGACATGCATTACATGCTAAAGCCTTCATAGCAAGGGGGCCAGAGAGGTCATGTGCAGGTTCCCAGTGTCCTTGAAAAAGGTCTGTGGTGAAGTATACTTTTTTTCTCAGATCAGGTATCACCAATGTGTACAGGGACCTTAAAATGGAGTCTTGGCTGGACTTTTAAATACTTATTTTATTGGCCTCATGTACATATTACTGTCCTGTATCTAGCTTCTCCAGCAGAGCCTCCTCTGGGGTGCTCACTGACACCAGGTACAAGTCATCAGTCACAGTAAACAGTGCTGGCAAGATGAACTGACCACCTGAATATCCTCTGAGCAGTGATTACAAAACAACACAATTAGTATGTTTCATGCCTTCACCAGGGGTTATTGCCATGATTTGAAGAAAGCAGCACAGGGAATTTCCAGGTCTGCTGGAATTAACCTTACTGGCACACTTGTGAAAAAAGTTGATAAAGGGTCTTCTGCTCTCAAATAGGTGAAGTCAAAGTGAAGTTATCAGAATAAAGTGAGCAAAGTCACATGTGGTTAATAATGATAGTATTGGATAAAATCATCTGCTCTTCCAAGCATAGTTTTTAAGTGAACATAAGTTTCTACAGCAAATCCTATCTAATAAAGAGGTAATATGCTAATTGACCCTCACGCCGTCACAAAATGGCGCCCACAGCCAATAAGGAGGGAATGTGCTAATTGACTGCCACGCCCTCAAAGATGGCGGCGCCCAGTCCCCTCAGCCCTACCAGGGTGGCATGCGCACGGCAAGGCTAGGCCCTACCCCAGGTGGGCCCGGCTGCTCCGCCAGAATCCCCCAATCCCCTCAGCCCCCCAGCTGCCCAGGGCCGGCCCGAGGCATAGGCAAGCCTCGGATGGCAGCTGCCCAGACACCCAGGGCCACCCGAGGCTCAGGTAACCAGGGTCAGCCGAGGCTTGAGCTGCCGGCAGTGGCAGCAGCAGAGGTGTGATGGGGCGTCACCTTCCCCTGATCGCCAGGTCATCTCCCGCCCCTGAGGGCTCCTGGACTGTGAGAGGGGGGTAGGCCAGTCTGAGGGCCCCCCCTCCAGTGCATGAATTTTCATGCACCGGGCCTCTAGTATATATTAATAATTAAAGAGTCTTATGTCTAATATATAAAGCATTTTAAGTTTCAAGGTTAAAAATCAACATCTCTTACAACTATTAAAACAAACCTTTCAATATTATGAGAAAGCTTTATTCTTTTGCAAATAGAATTAAACAATTTTATGATGACAGGATACAAAATAAGTATAGATTTAGTGATATTTTAATGTTATTCCTGAAAAAATAAAAATTCAGAGACAGCAGAGGGCAGCAACAGTGTAGAAAGTTCATTTTCATAGTTGCATTAGAACTGGCTGCATGCAGAAATGTAATAGAATATATTGGTGAGATAAACATGTATATAATACTAATTGTTAGTTGCCATAATTTAACCTCTATTGTTTGATATTACTTTAGAAATTATTCATTCTTTGTAATTAATAGTTAGCTAACATCTATTATTTTAAAGTACAGGAAATTACTATGCAGAAACTTCTTTAAAAGGTTTATGTACCTCCCTGGCATTTTGATTTTTTTATTCTGTTAATACGTTATTAAAACTAGAATTTCTTGGCCATACTATGCCTTTTTTCTTTTTTTTTAAAATTTTTTTTATTGCTTTGGAAGGGAGAGGGAGAGGGAGAGAGAAACATCGATTGGCTGCCTCCTGCATGCTCCCCACCAGGGATTGAGCCTACAATGTGGGCATGTGCTCTGTCTGGGGTGCATGGGAGGATGTTCAACCAACTGAACCACAGCGGCCAGGGCTTATTTAATCTCTTTTAATTGGAACACTGTAGTATTACTAATGGAAATTAGGGATATAAGGTATGTTAGAGATACTTAATTTTAATGACTTGAGTTACTAAGTCTATTTTAAAAATACAGTTTAGCTCTAACCGGTTTGTCTCAGTGGATAGAGTGTCAGCCTGGGGACTGAAGGGTCCCAGGTTCTATTCCGGTCAAGGGCATGAACCTTGGTTGCGGGCATATCCCCAGTAGGAGGCGTGCAGGAGGCAGCTGATCGATGTTTCTCTCTCATTGATGTTTCTAACTCTCTATCCCTCTCCCTTCCTCTCTGTAAAAAAATCAATAAAATATATTTTTTTAAAATGCAGTTTTTTAAGTTATAATTAATGTCACAGCTCTGCATCTCTAGTACTCCTCAGGAGGGAGACAGGCGGGAGAGGCAGTGTTTTATTAGTAGGAAGCTTTGGGTGCCAGATTTCTCCCTTTCTATAAAATAAGTACTAAACCAGCTGTGGGCAAACTACAGCCCGCGGGCCGGATCCGGCCCGTTTGAAATGAATAAAACTAAAAAAAAAAAAAGATCGTACCCTTTTATGTAATGATGTTTACTTTGAATTTATATTAGTTCACACAAACACTCCATCCATGCTTTTGTTCCGGCCCTCCGGTCCAGTTTAAGAACCCATTGTGGCCCTCGAGTCAAAAAGTTTGCCCACCCCTGTACTAAACAGTGCCCTAGTTGGTTCGGCTCAGTGGATGGAGCATCAGCCTGCGAACTTAAGGGTCCTGGGTTTGATTCCAGTCAAGGGCACATGCCTGGGTTGCGGGCTTGATCCCTATTAGGGGACATGCTGGAGGCAGCCAATCAGTGATTCTCTCTCATCATTGATGTTTCTATCTCTCATTCCCTCTCCCTTCCTCTCTGAGATCAATAAAGATATATTAAAGAAAAAAAAAGTACTAAAACAATTAGTCTGGATAAATAGTAACTTTGGAGACCTGCTGTGCTCTTTGTGCTTTTGGATTAAATGATGCTCATTATCTCAGTCAAATTTTTATGATCTGTAGTTTGTGTTTTTAAAAATAGGACTTTCGTTTATATATTTTTTTATTTCTTTTAGGAAAACACCAGACATTGTTGTTGGCAGTTTTTGTGAATCCTCTTGTTGATCTTCGGTCTGATTTCTCCAAGTTTCAGGATAGAAACAACTTTAGATATGGATCAGGTATGCAATATGCCCTTTAATTCAAGCAGCATAATATTTTTGAAAAGCAAAGGCATAGCTACCCTTTTCCAGATTTCTCCCTTTAGTCTTTAATTTTGGCACTTTTGTAAGGCTCTTTCTCTCTCATCGATGTTTCTAACTCTCTATCCCTCTCCCTTCCTCTCTGTAAGAAATCAATAAAATATATTTTTTTAAAAAAAAAAAAAAAGAGGAAATGAATATTGGGTAAAGGAAACCTCACAAACAAAAGATTTCACATATGCAAGCTGAGTTTTATTAACTCCAAGAGAGAAGGAAAATTATAGTCATTTAGTTCTTTTTCTGGAGATTTCTTCTATTCTTTCATTTGTGACATGTTTCTTTGCCTCCACATTTGACTGCTTCCCTGTGTTTGTTTCTATGAAGTAGAGCTGCTTTGTCTCCTGGAATTGGTAGAGTGGCCTTGTGTAGTAAGGTGTCCTGTAGGGCCCAGTGGCTCAGCCTCCCCAATCACCTGAGCTGGGCACTCTGTGTACCCCTGTGTGGGCTGTGTGCACAGTCTTGTAGTTGAGCCTTGATTGCTGTTGGCGTCAGTGGGAGGAATTGACCTCTGGGCCAATTGGCTGTGAGGATCAGCTGCTGTGCAGGAGACACCCCTGTGGAGCAGTACTTGCTTCAGTGGGGCTTTGGTGCTCACTGAGACTTCCCCTTGAGTGCGTCACTCATGGATGTGTAGCATTTGTAATCTGGTATGGAAAGAAGCTGTCTACCAGGTGCACTGGCTGGGGCCTCCCAGGAGGTGCAAAGTCAGCCACTTCCTGGGGCCACCCAGCAGGAGCTATAGAGAGATCTGCAGATGGCTGCTACTGTGTTGGGCTTGGAAGTGCCCAGGTGAGTCCAAGCTGTCTTGTGCCTCTTATTGATAGATAGGGGGCATGCTGATGCCAGCTGCTGCTTGTTGGCAAGATTTTAGGAAAGTCAGAAGCCTGAGCCAGGACAGGCCATTCATATAGAAAAGCCATTGCAAACATCTTGAGTGAGGCTGTAAATCGGATGGGGCGGGGTCTCAGGGAATCACCAGGGTAGAGTGAACTGTGTGAGCCAGGCTAATGGAAACTCAGATATGGCTGCCAGTCAGCTCTGAGATGGGAGGTCTCAGCATAGGAACAGTTACCCCTGCAAGCACCCCTGTCTGGGAGATAGCTGCCCCTGAGTTCTTGCTCTGATGCCAGACAATCCAATTCCTCCCCATATGTCCCTGGATCCTCCCCTGCCCTCCTAGCTGTTGCCCCAGCCCTGAAGCTCAGAGAGGGAGTCAGTGTAAATTCATGTGCTGGCCCTTTAAGAGGAACTGCCTGGGTCTCCAGCAGCCTCCTTGTCACTCAGCCACAATCCCTGCTGGTTTTTACAGCCCGAAGTTACAGGAGCTTCTCTGCTCTGGAACCCTGGGCTGGGGGTCTGGTGTGGGCTGGGACCCCTTGGTCCTCATGGGAGGCCCCCACAGCCAAGATATCCCTCCTGATTGAAAAAATGCCACATGTGGGTGTCGGACCAAGCCTGTTTCCACTCCTCCACCCCTCCTACCAGTCTCCAGTAGGACTTTCATTCAGCCAGATTTCAGGCGGTTCTGAACGATGGTTGTTCTGTATTTTTATTGTAATTTTGATGTGGTGTGGGAGGTGGTGAGTGCCAACCATTTTGGTTCTCCTCAGATGTACAACTTTTAGATCAATGGAAGGCAGAAATACTGTTTCAGAGACATTTGGATGCAAATCATTACCATCCCTCTGTAGCTAAGGATGTGGCCTTTGATTGGACTGAGTTGGATATTTGTAAACATTACTTTAAATGAAATCTTCTGAAGGTGTAGTTCTTGATGGTGAACAAAAATTCTGAGTAAAATAGGCAGGTGGGAAGGCAAGAATTGAGCTTTTCACTGTCACTGCAGCTGCGCACACTTGAAGGATCCCAGAAGCAAGGCAAATGCTACCCTTTGTGGTCACCTTTGTTCTTTGAGCTTGCTATCTCCTTGCCTTAATATTGTGGGTCTCAAGCTAAGCATGTATCAGAGTCACCTGATGGGCTTGTTAAAACACATGGCTGGACTCTGACCCCAGAATCAGATTCTTATAGGTCTGGGGTGAGGCTGGAGAATTTGTATTTTAAATATGTCCCCAAATGGTACTGCTTGTCTGGGGACTATTTGCTTAATAAACTACTAGTGCAATTGAGAAATGAGTATGTGAATTTCTTCACAACAGTTTGTAGCCTACCTGTAATGCTGTACTCTTGGACCATCATGGGCAATATATGGCCAAAATTAGTTTGTATAGTTGAGATTGTTTAAGAGTTTCTTAAAATTTGTAGCCCTCTATCAATGTACAGGTCCTTTATTAAAGATCCCCGTGCAGGTATCTTTATTTTTTATTTATTTTAAAAAATATTTTTATTGATTTCAGAGAGGAAGGAAGAGGGTGAGAGAGATAGAAACATCAATGATGAGAGATAATCATTGATCGACTGCCTTCGTCATGTCCCCCACTGGGGATTGAGCCTGCAACCTGCGCATGTGCCCTGACTGGGAATCGAACCGTGACCTCTTGCTTCATAGGTCACGGCTCAACCACTGAGCCATGCAGGGCAGGCTGTAGCTATCTTTATTTTTCTTTTTTAACATATTTTTATTGATTTCAGAGAGGCAAGGAGAGGGGAAGAGAGAAATAGAAACATATTGATCAGCTGCCTCCTGCACACCCCCTACTGGGGATCGAGCCTGCAACCCGGGCATGTGCTCTTGACTGGAATCAAACCTGGGACCCTTTAGTTCGTTGGCTGACGCCCTATCCACTGAGCCGAACCAACTAGGGCTGTAGCTATCTTTTTATCTGGGTTATCATATTCACACCTTCACAGCCTGCCCAAAAGATGTCCTACCTTTTAGGACCACCATTTTCACCCTCTCCCCCTTTCCCTCCGCACACTGAACAGTAAAAGCTGTATTCCTGCAATAAACAGTTTGTTTTCATTATGTGCAGTATATTAGCCACTACTGTGATAATTATAGCAGATAGCAGGATGATAAAATCTTGGATACTTTTACTTTATATTATGCCTTTTCATGTACTTCCTCCCTTCTTGCCTTCCTGTCATGCAGTATTTTGACTGTATAAATCCAACTGTTACTGGTGATGTTGGCAACTAAACATTGTTGGTAACAAAATGACAGCAGTTGTTACCAGTGATGTTGGAACTTGTCTTGAGTTTGGCAAAGAAAGAATTCAGAGCCAGGAACTCAAATTATGAGAGAAAGTTTATTTAGAAAGTTACAAAGGTAGTAGAAGTGAGCCAGCTGGAAAGCGTGGGCTTAGGAAACAAGTTACAGAGGCAGAAGGAGGTCCCTTGGAGCTTAGGAGAGAGAAAGGCAAAGGTAGACTAATTGGAGGGAATAAGGAGAGGGGAAAGGTGCAGGCATGCTCCTGGAAAGGAGAGTGCACTGCACACCCTGGGTCATTCATCTTGAGGGTTTCAAAGGCTGGAGCTTTGGGGAGGATCTCAACAGAATATCTTCAGCTTTATACTGATGCACCACAATGAGATTTATTCCCTTACTTCATCTGTCCTTGGGTGTGATTGGCACACATGGCACTAATTGGATTTCTGCTGTTACCCTGAGTAGCATGATTTAGCTATTTACCCTCTGGTTGGGGAGGAAAAGTGTAAACCATTTACTCTTAAGTGTCCTTGGTTACAGAAGGTAGGATTTTGTGATTTACTAGATGGCTGTAAACTGCTTGACCATTTAACTATCAGGGTCATTTTCCCTATTCCACTTGTCCTGGTTTACTAGTCTGTCTCATTCCCCCTCAGAGACTTCCATCCCTGAAATCATTCAGGAGTGATGGGGGGTGGGGGGGTGCGGGTCTGTCTTTAGTAACTGCTTCCTGCTGGCAAAGGCCATGTTCCCTGCCTGTATAGGGTATGGAAGTCTCTCCCTGCCTGATCTAAGGGAGACAAGGGATCCAAGGCTAGAACAGAGAGGCTGTTAGCTGATTCTTCCAAAGTAGGGATAGGCTGGAATCCCTGAAGCATCATCATCTTGATATGGAATTCTTGTCTCCAGAACTAATTTCTTGATTTGTTCTATCTTTTGTGATTTTAATGGGTCCTCATTTGGTCCTAGGATGGATATGTACCAGTAGCAATTTGTGCAACATTTCAAGTAAAAGTCCTGCAATACTTTGATGGAATCATTTAAGCAGTGATTGAGGCCAGTAAAACTACTGATGATTGGCCTAAGATAAACCAGGGGTGGAGATACTCAGAAGAGCACTACCCTATCAGGAAGGGGGAAGGAGGGAAACAACTGTTGTATACATCACCAGCTGTTGCCTGCTAAGATACTGTGCTGTAACTATAGGCTTTCATGTTTTATGATATGATTCTCTCTTTTAAATGAACAAGATTCCTAGTATATAATATCTTTATTCTCAGTTATAAACCTTTACACTTGTCTCAGGTCATAAGTGAACTCAGCCCTTCACTGTCGTTGTAGATATTTGTAATGAATTTAGCCATCTAAGTTAGATGACTTAGAACTACTTTGGGAAACTCTCAAGAGGCTATCAGTTGCTTCATGTGTCTTTTCTGAAAGCTTCACTCGTGTTTTTCAGCTGTGCACTTGGGAGTTCATGTGGTGAAGGGAACAGCCATTTACATGAATGGCTGAGTTAATTTTTTTTCTAGGCTTAGCTTTGTATATAATGCTTAAGGTATTTTTGTGGCTGCCTTCCATAAATCATATAGAAAGATTTTCTATTTTTGAAGTAAATGTAGATCAAAACCATCCCAAGACAAGGTTCAAAAAGAAGCAATGATTTTTCACAAAATATAAACATTTTCAGTTAGATCGGATGATTCAGTGAGAGTATTAAATTTTTAAACCTTTCTATACAGTATGTGGACCAAGTTATCTTTGAATATTAGTTTTCACATACACTTATTTATTTTATCTACTGTTGGAAAAGTAGTAATTTTAGATAAGTTTTTATTGAAAATACTGGGACAGAAAAATAAAATAAATTTTTAAAAATGCAATTGCATGATCCTGGTACAACATTATTGTATGAATATATGTAAGTTGTAAAGATAATGTATGCTTTAAAATGTTCTTGGGAACAAAAATAAATAAAAAAGAAGGAAGTATTCATATTTTCCACCTAAAATTAACTCAAAAGGTGTCAACATTTTTGCTTATAGTTATCTGTACAAATAAAACACTATTGTAAAACTGTTATCTATATAAAGCATTCAAATTATGCAGAAAGAAAGAAAGCTTAAAGTGTCTCCCACATCTATCACCCAGAAATAACTGAATTACTATTTAGTCTTTTCCTTTCTTTTTTTTTTTTTAATACCTTTTTATTGATTTCAGAAAGGAAGGGAGAGGGGGAGAGAGAGAAAAACATCAATGATGAGAGAGAATCATTGATTGGCTGCCTCCTGCATGCCCCCTACTGGGGATTGAGCCTGCAACCCAGGCATGTGCCCTTGGCCAGAATCGAACCTGGGACCCTTCAGTTTGCAGGCCAATGCTCTATCCACTAAGCCAAACCAGCTAGACCTAGTCTGTTTTCAAGTATGGGTAGTATTGAGGGTTTTGGGGACAGGTTTTGAAATTTTGTGTTTTAGTTCCTTACAACAAAGTATTGTCCCACTCAAAATGCCAGTAGTGCCTCCATTGAGAGACAGCTAATGATCTTTTTATGGTTATATACAGACAGATGTATAAAAGAATTCAGCTTAATGTTTTTCAGTATAACAAAAAAAATTATGGAAGGAATTGTTGAGCTTCAAATGAATGATTTTCACCACAAGAGAGGAAAAATAACCTAAAAGATAGGTTAAAGAAACTAAATTAGAAAAAAAATATGAAGAGATAGGCAATTTCTTTCAATGACATGTTTCAATTTTGGACAGTATTAATGCCCTGCTGTGAAAGTTGAGCACTAAGCCCTGTCTTATGTGCCTCTCTAAGAGCCTCATACTTCTTGGTGTTTTGTTGTTGTTGTCTTGTGTTTTTTGGTGTGTGTGTTTTTGTTGTTGTTGTCTTGGTTTTTACTTCTTGGTTTTTAATGGCTTTATTTTTACATTGTCCAGGTCTAAAATATGCACAATATGTCTGTAGGTAGAATTCCAATTTTCAGGGTTGTTTAATGTTTATATTTACATGTAAATGGTTTCATGCTCACCGTTAGTCCTTTTGCCATGGCTTCTTCATTTCTGGGTTTAAAATGTTTGATTTCTGCTTTGGCTGGTATGGCTCGGTTGGTTGGAGCATCCTCCCAATACACCAAAAGATGGCAGGTTCAAGTTCGGTCAGGGCACATGCCCACGTTGCGGGTTCAATCTCTGGTTGGGGCACATGTGAAAGGCAACTGACCGATGTTTCTCACTTGATGTTTCTCTTTCTCCCTCTCTCTAAGATAAAATAAAAAGTTTGATTTCACTTTTATTGGGCTAGATTTGTTTCTCAGGTTAGGGTTTTTTGTTTTGTTTTGTTTTAAAGAAAGGTTGATGGATATTATAGTCCTTGAGTTATTATTTCATGCTCAATAAGTATGTTTTTCAGCTTTATTCTTTTTTTTAAATATATATTTTATTGATTTTTTTTACAGAGAGGAAGGGAGAGGGATAGTTAGAAACATCGATGAGAGAGAAACATCGATCAGCTGCCTCCTGCACACCCCCCACTGAGGATGTGCCCGCAACCAAGGTACATGCCCTTGACTGGAATCGAACCCAGGACCCTCCAGTCCGCAGGCCGACGCTCTATCCACTGAGCCAAACCGGTTAGGGCTTCAGCTTTATTCTTGAGCAAATCTTGATTATTTTATTTACAACTTTTCTAAATTTTGAGGGTGATACACACTGTTCTCTGGCATTCCATATTAATGAAGTTGATACTGTTATAATTAGCTAATTAATAACAATAGGAAAGGAGCAAAGGGAAGGCCAGACATTATAGGCATGTCATTTGGGCAGCTTCACCCAAGTTGTAACTGCACTCCCCAGCGAACCACTGGCCTATTTTCTGCAAAACACTGGGGGAAGGGATCCAACAAAGAGAAGATAGACACATGCCCAGTAAAATTGATTTCAGAGAGGAAGGGAGAGGGAGACTTTGTGTAAGTCTGATATAATGGTATATTGCTTCTTTTTTAAATATATTTTTATTGATTTCAGAGAGGAAGGGGGAGAGAGAGCAAGAGATAGAAAGAAACATCAATGACGAGAGAGAATCATTGATCGGCTGCCTCCTGCACGCCCCCTACTGGGGATCAAGTCCATAACCCGGGCATGTGCCCTTGACTGAAATCGAACCCGGGACCCTTCAGTCTTCAGGCTGACGCTCTATCTACTGAGCCAAACCAGCTAGGGCTGGTGGTATATTTCATTATCCCAGGTTGTTTGGGAGTGGTGAGTTATTGCTGACGGGCACTTAATTTGGCATGTGGTCCTTAGAGTATTTATTTTAGTAAATTAGAGCTCATTTACTTTTCCCTTGTTTCACTCGCATCTCCCTAGCAGCATGTTCAAAGCAGTATTCCCCCATCCAGGGAAGGAAAATGTAAGGATATTTAATTTAATTTTCTTGTCTCCAGATTTAGGATTATTAGTAAGAATTCTCAAGGTTTTTTTGACTCACCATTGGGTTTCTGGAAGGTGGGGAAGAGGGTAGGAACTTGGCCTGCCTCTGCCTCACTTTTCTTAAATTAATTGGAGGAGGCAGTATCAGTTATCTGTCCACCATTATAGCATTACTTTTTCCCCCTGGAGTTATCATAAGCCTTGGTCCTTATTTCCAAATCATCTTCATTGTCTTTTTAAGTAATCATACAATATTTTATTGATGTACCATTATGCAAATACTTGATGTTTTATTATTTCTGGGGTTCACTGTAACAAATAAATCTGCACATATTTTATTCATTCATGTATTGTTTTGCTTCTGTTTATTATTTCCTTAATTTGAATTCCTACAAGTAGAATTGCTATGCCAAAGAGTATAACAAAAATCTCTGAGTCTTGTTGCATTGCTTTTTTTAAGGTTATACTAACTTATATTTTCACTAGAAATGAGTGCATTAATTGCACTGTAGCCTCATTAGTATTTGGTGGTGGGGTCTTTTTTTCTTTAAAACAAAGCTGTAGAATAATATCTTAAGGTTGCTTAAATATTCATTTTATCATTATGGCGCTTTACCATTTTCTTTTGGTTTTGTTTACTATCTATTTCCTCATCCATGAGTTGTATGTCATACTTGCCCATTTAATGACCTTGCTGTTTTTCTCATATGCAAACAAGTGCTGTTATAAAAGAAAATATTAATCTTTATACTTTTATATTTTGCAAAGCTTTTATTTTAACAAACGTTTTGTCTTTTTAAAAGTTAGCTTTAAAAACACTTAAATTTTAATACTATATAATTAAATATATTTTTCATTTTGTTGGTTTAAATTGAGAAAGTTATTTAATAAATGTTTTTATTTTTAATTGATTTTCTTTTCAAGAGAGATAGGAGAGGGGAGAGAGAGAGAGAGAGAAACATCGATTGCCTGCCTCCTGCGCATCCCCTACTGGGGGTCAAGCTGGCAACCCCGGGTATGTGCCCTGACCAGCAATTGAACCAGCAACCTCTTGGTGCATCGGACAGTGCTCAACCAACTGAACCACACTGGCCAGGCCTAACTCTTATATTATGCTTTTATATATAATTCTTTTTCATAGTTATTAATACCTATCAGAGTAGGTTTTATTTTTTAAAAATATTTTTTCATAATTTTGTCTTTAAATTTTAGTCATTTTGTTTTCTTTCAAAAAGATTCATATTGGGCAGTTATATAGGAATGAGTAGATCTTAACATTTGATTTAGTTTTCTTTTCAGAGTCTGCCTTGTCATTTATCAGTTCTTAAATCTTCTAATAGGCAGGTATCTTTATAAAAATCTTATTAAGACTTTGTTCCTAAATATTTTGTGTGTTTACTATTGTGAGATCTACTTTTCATCATGATTTCTTGCTGGTTATTATTGGTAAGAAATTAGGGAAACAAAGTACTTAAGAGTATGTTTTTAAATTATGAGATTTTGATGAACTTTCAGTTTGAAGAAATAAAATTCTATAGTTTTTTTTGTTTTGTTTTGTTTTAGAGCTAACTTTTTGAGATTCCTAAGGTGGATCCTTGGTTTGGGCAAAAACTAAATGTTCTGTTATAAGCTTAGAACATTGAGCATTCTTTAGTAATATTTAGGAAAAATGTTTTGAACGTTGTTTAAGGGAAATGTAAATAAAAATAATACTATTGGTGACATATGCATCAATAGTACTATGTCTGTTTCACAAGGATAATTTTGTACATCTAGAACTCTAAGATGCTAATAAACAGAACTTTATATCTCTTGATAAATAGAAGCTTCTTATAGTTGTGACTGAGTCACTTATGGGTAGTGAATTATTTAACTCAAAACATGAAATCTAATAAATAAGCAAAAGAACATACTTCCTTCATGACTTCCATCTTTAAAATGTAACCACTCTTGCCGAAACCGGTTTGGCTCGGTGGATAGAGCGTCGGCCTGCGGACTGAAAGGTCCCAGGTTCGATTCCGGTCAAGGGCATGTACCTGGGTTGCGGGCACATCCCCAGTAGGAGATGTGCAGGAGGCAGCTGATCGATGTTTCTCTCTCATCGATGTTTCTAACTCTCTATCTCTCTCCCTTCCTCTCTGTAAAAAATCAATAAAATATATTTAAAAAAAAAAAAAATGTAACCACTCTTTGTTCTCCCTATAGGTGGAAAACCACGAATTCCTTGTAAAGCCTTCATTTGATCCTAATCTGAGTGAATTAAGAGAAATAATGGATGGTTTAGAAAAGAAGATGCAATCAACATTAGTAAGTACAGCTAGAGATCTAGGTAAGAATGGGCTGTTCGAGGTTTGAATAATTCTTTTGTCTACATAATATCCACTGGTGTCAGAATTACTTTCCTAGAAGACACACTTGATTGTGCCAATTTCTTGTTTAATGTGCCAGACCCTTATTCTACAGAATAAAATTACAAACACTTATAGTTGGCACACAGGGTACTTTACATTCAAAGCCTTACCTGACTCATCTTCCAGACTCATTTCTTACTAACTCCCTCAAATCCTAGCATGACTCCCCATTCCTGCCAAACAAATCACCCAACAGGTCCTTGCATCATGTCTTTTAAATAAGACCAGTTTTAAATGTCACCTCCTCTACAAGCCTAATTCTGCTAGAAATAGTTCATTGATTTGGCTATGGGGTTCTTAAGCACTTCATTAATATCAATTTTTAAAATGTCTGCCTGCAAACTAGATTAATTCCCTAATTAGTCTCACACTATTCACACTGTTTTTGTTCTAAATTTATAAACCTCTTTGTTCTGAGCATCACTCACATGTGTGCTGAATAAATAAATGAATCTTAGCATTCAAACTGTAAGACCCCACAGGGCAGTAGTACTTAAAATACTTAAACTTTTGGAGAATCTAAAAGGTATGGAACATCTTCCCAGAAATATGCCATCTATCTATATATATAAAAGCCTAAGCAACCGGCTGACTGAACTGCTGATTGACCAGTCACTATGACTCGCACTGACCACCAGGGGGCAGATGCTCAACGCAGGTGGTCATTGTGCTCCCACAGCTAACTTCCTGCGACCGGCCAACCTCCCTTGGTCCCTCCCCCGGCCCCGATCGCCAGACCCCACCCATGCATGAATTCGTGTACCGGGCCTCTAGTATCTTCATATTGAAAAGATAAGGACTGGATCCTAGAGTCAAGAATCTTTTCCTTTGAAGAATATTAAAATTTACCCCCTCATGTCATAGTTATCTACAGTCCCTTTGCTCCCCAGTCAAGTGAGATCTGTCTGTAGTTGTTGGCTGCTAACAATATTTGATAGGCATGCTTCAGCAAATAAATTGGTAGTTACTATCTCTGTCTTCTAGTTTGTGGTCTAAAGATCACATTGATAAGTGAGATTATGAGAGGACAGACTTAAACTCAAAAATCTTTGTTGCATGAAGTCTAGCTAATCATTGCTTGTTTTGTAAAGTTTCCTACACTTAACAAAAAACATTTGTCCTAATTTTTCTAGAATTTCATTGTCAGAGTCACCAGTTTTTGTTTGGAAAGTGTATTTCTTCAGTTTAATGTGCTCTATCTCCCCACGAAATGCTTTGGTTAATAACTAAAGAACCCTCATGCAGAACTCCTCAAGGGCAGGGTTGTATTGTACTCACCTTCATGCCCCCAGCGTCTAGAGCAGTGTGTGCTGCCCACTGCTGGTGCTCTGCTTCCTAGGTTGGGTTTACCCAGAAAGTGCTTCCACTTCAGAAGCAACATTTATAAGGGACTTTAAGGGTTTATTTATATCCTTAATTTATGTAGATTTTTGTGTAAAGTGAAGTAGGACTTGTATCGTTCTTAGCTAGATAACATTAATAATTTTCAGTACCTATCATGTAATAAAAGTATGCTTTTTACTCTTTAGATTTAATTATTTTAAACATCTACATGGAAAATGGCTGTTGACAAACTTTTTTTTTTCTTAACATAAAGGTTTGGAATCTGGCAAACAGATTAAACTGGATTCAAATTCACAGTTTGGATATTATTTTCGCGTAACGTGTAAAGAAGAAAAAGTCCTTCGTAACAACAAAAACTTCAGTACCGTAGATATCCAGAAAAATGGTGTTAAATTTACCAATAGGTTTGTAAGCCTGTATCATATTGTTAAGCCTTCAGTAGTACCATAGAACTAAATTATTCTCTGATGAAATGTAGTGCCCATTACTTTCAGTAGATGTTTTCATTTTTTAAAATAATACCATTACCTTGATTTGCAGTGCATTGACTTCTCTTAATGAAGAATATACCAAAAACAAAACTGAGTACCAAGAAGCCCAGGATGCCATTGTTAAAGAAATTGTCAACATTTCTTCAGGTAATAATAGAAGCAAAAGATTCTGAATATGACCTGTTTTTTGATCATAGGAAAACATCAGGATGTTTCAAGAGTGGTCTTTTAAAAAGTTATTAGACTGTTAATTATGTTAGGCTACCTACCAAATAATGCATGCTGTATTGTGGTAGGAAAAGTAACTGGAAATTACTCTGGTACATGGGAAGATAAGCTAGTGCAGGCTGAGGAATGGGAATACCCTGAAAAAAAAAGATGTGCAAAAAAGCACAAAACTTAGCTGTAGTAATAAGGGGAAGAAACACCAAGGACTATTAATAATCTATGGGCTCATGCTCTAGGTTATGGAAATAAATATCACTGAAAATAAAAGTTATACATGAGGCAAGCAAGCCCTTTTAAGTTCTGTGTGCCATTTATAGATTTTCAGAGTTCATTCTAGAGGCATCGTTTGAGGTGAATGTTTTATAAATGCCTTAACATCATGGTATTGCCCTTAGCATGAAATGAATGTATGTTTAACACAGTAGGTGGGGATATGTTAATTAAGCTGGAAGGCTTTGCCTATCGTCATGTGGATATTGCTTATAACCTTAATTGTGCCTTGCAAAAATATACCAAAGAAATGCTTAAGCCAAGTGATCAAAGTTGGCATCACTAGTAATGGGACAAGTGACATTATATATTTCCTGATGGGATGCAGAGGGAAGGACACAATATAACCTATGTAATGTTGACAAAACATTTAACTTGATTATAGGTAAGAAGAAAAAAAGGTAAATTTAGATTGTGGCACACTTCTTTTTAGGGCTTGACCTATTTAAAAATGTCAGCATCATGGAAACAATAAAGAAGAATGGACAGGATCTGTTTTAGATTAAAGGAGACTTAAAGAGACAGGATAGTCAAATGCAGTGGATGAACCTTGATTGGATCAAGGATTAGGGGTTGTTGGAGAATAGTGATAAAGTACACTATTGGAACAAATTGGCTAAGTTTAATATCTATATATATATTTAAGGCTAATATGCAAAGTGTCCCCTCGGGAGTTCGACCGGGAGTTCTATCGCTTGCTATTATGTGCGCTGACCACCAGTGGGCGGCGCGGAACATGGCAGGCGACCAGCAGCGGCAGCGGGGTGCTGAGGGAGTGAGAACGTGGGAGGCAGGGAGGCGGGGAAACTGATTGGCTCTGATCGCAGGCCAGGCCTAGAGACCCTACCTGTTCATGAATTTCGTGCACCGGGCCTCTAGTGAGATTATAATGGTATTGGTGTTGCAGTTTGTGGATGTGTATTATGATTAAGTGGAAGAATGTCCTTGTTCTCAGGATATGTATGCTGAATTATTTAGGGGTAAAAGTAATTTTAAAATGATGAGCATGTATAATTCTGCAAATTGTTTTACTATTGTGAATTTTCATAGTAAATCAGAAACAAAATTTAAAGGTTTTAATACACTTGATTGGTTTTGAGATGAAGGAAATTTAGAAAGATTATTTTTGCTTGGTGGTATCAGATAACTGTACCATGATAATCTTGTTGGATTATGTTTCTTAGCTTAGATTGCATTTTTAAGAACCCTCTAAACACTATACAAACAGTCTTCCTCATAAACCAATATTAACTAATATTCATTAAGCACCTAGTAGGTTAAAATGGCTAGATTTTAATATTTTTAAATTGAAAGTGTTTTATTTGGAGTTACCTTGAATTTAAGTGAAACCTCTTTTTGGTCTACCATACATTTGAAATTTTTATTTTGAAAGGTAGTGGATCATTTTTGTAGTTTTCTAACTTGCTATTAAACCAGAAAAGATGGTATTGTTAAGAGCCAGATGAAGTGAGATACTGAGTATGGACTGTTAATTAAGAGGCTTTTGGTTTTCTTTTTTATTATAAACCTATTCTTACTGATCTATTAGAAGTTTTATGACTTTTAAAGTAATTGTAGTAAGTACTCAACTAATGTTTAAGTAATTCTCACAGGTTCCTATTTGCTACATGATAGGGTAATGTGAACTCTTCAGGGCCCATTTGTGTTAATTGTATCACTTTTATGGGGAACAAAGGTATCAAAGATGAGTCAAATTTCCTGCCATTTGAATACTCATAATTTTGTGTTCTTATAAAATTGAACATTATTCTCTTGAATGTTCCTTAAAGCTTTTGACACATTGATGTCTGTATGGCAGGTCTATGTGACATGTGGATCTGTTAAACAACCCCTCCAACCTATTAAAATTTTAGAATCTATTCTGAAATCTTAACCATTATTATTGGCTAAACATGCTTTACCTAGCATGTATCAGGACTTTTTAATGTACATAATAGCTTTTAAGTTTGTCTTTTTTTTTTCCTCATATATTAAGATTTTAGTCTCTATGGAATAAAAATAATTCTAAGGAAATACTGAGAGTTTCAACCCAGACATCACTACCATAAAAAACTTAGGTCTTATCTATTTAGTGGATCTCAGTTCTCTTCACCCATAAGCATAAAACAGGTCTCTGATCTGCTTTTGTTTATAATGTGAGGTTCCTTAAGCTCATCAGGTCAGATTGGTGTTCAGCATCAAACAAGAACTGTTAAATAGAAGCAGAGTTTTATTTATAAGTTTTCAAGAGGCAAAATCATATTTTATGAAATGAATATTTGAGTGAAGCCAAGAAACATATCTACTGTTACTAAGGGGCAATGATATCCTTCTATTCATCAGCTTTTAGTTTTAATGCTCTAGCAGACCAGCATCTTGTTGAAAGTATTTTAAGTGACAATTATGGATCTACATTTATACTAAAATTTAATTGTATGTGATGCTGATGGGGGGAAAATGCTGAAATAAAAGCCTGACAGACAGGTCTTACATGCACAGGCCTTGATGGTCACATGATATCTTATGACCTGTTGCTTGCATGTTTCTTATAATTATGAAATGCCATTCTGGTTTCAGACTCTTAATTTTACAAGAAAAGTGTGTCTTAAAAGTGCAGCTATGACTCAAATATTACTGTACCCTGCTTTTCTTTCTTACCAGTAAATTATGATAGTTTTTTCTTAATCTACCTCATTTCTAAACAGCTTTTATATTTTAATGGATTTTGGCAAGGGGGCATCATACCCTTTGTATTTTTGAAATCTGTTCATAGTGGGGGAAGATATAGTAACACATTTTAACATGTTGAGTTTTAGGTGTTACTTTCAAGTTTAGTTGTGGCAAACTTCTATTAATTTTTAAAAAGTATATAAATTAGGAAATTAGAGTTTGAATTCCCAAATGGGGAAGTTAAGTTTATTCTTAGAGCTGCTTATATGTATTTTTTTATTATTCAATGTTCCTGTGCACATTTTCTGTTTTTATATAGGCTATGTAGAACCAATGCAGACATTCAATGATGTGTTAGCTCAGCTAGATGCTGTTGTCAGCTTTGCTCATGTATCAAATGGAGCGCCAGTTCCATATGTACGACCGGTCATTTTGGAGAAAGGACAAGGAAGAATTATTTTGAAAGCATCCAGACATGCTTGTGTTGAAGTTCAAGATGAAGTTGCATTTATTCCCAATGATGTTCACTTTGAAAAAGATAAACAGATGTTTCATATCATTACTGGTAAAAAAAAAACACCAACACACCTTGTTTATGGGTTATTTTGGGTAATGTTTCTTTTTTTAATGTTGGGGTGAAAAATATGCTTAAAATTGATGAAGAAAATCCAAATTTTTGAAATTTTAAGAACATGTTATTCATATTAATGAGTAATATATTCGTATTTGAATTAGTGGGAAGATTTGGGAGAGGGCGTAAAGGCTTTTGAGAAAAAACTGTATTTATAAGAAACTTCTGTTTTAGGAGTTCAGAGCATTTAAAAATGAACACCCCTTCTTCCTCAATGCTTACTTCTGTGCCAGACCTTTCAGTAGTGAGGTCATTGAAAATCAAGCAGAACTGGCTGCTGGAATGACCTCAGTTAAGGGTAGCAGTACTTTTATTTTTAATTTCTTAAAAAATATTTATTGTTGAAAGTATTACAGATGTCCCTCTTTTTTTTCTCCCATTGTCCCCTTCTAGCCCACACCAGGATAGCAGTTCTTTTAAAGCCATGGCACTAAGGAAAATAATGTAGCATGTCTCAAACTAAAATGTTTTGAAAGATCTTAACCAGATTCCAAAAAAACAAAAATGAGGGAGTAAGGAGTCTTTGGGCAAATGTGTTCTATTTCCCCAAATGGATTTTCAAGTTGTTTATATAATCTAACCCAGATATGTAAATTGTGCATTTTCCAAAATTGTAGGGTCATGTCTTAGGGCTTTAGTGTGCTTTTTAAGTGGTTGAAGGATTTGACCATACTGATCCATTCACTAATGGCCCATTTATTAATGAGTTACAGTGTTAAGTCAATTGGGCCTGTACTACTTTTCTGGATGTCATAAAATTATTTTGCAGGCAGCTCTATGAGCTATGGGAAAATGTCTGTGTGATCTTTCTAGGCCATAATCAAATTATAGGTAAAGTATATTTTTTATGGGTCCTCTCTATGAAAGGAGCAATATAGGTTTGTCTGAAGGGCAAATAGCATTACCTCAGGGAGTAGTATTGGCAACAACTTTGTCCATGTCTTTGGGCAGCTAATGGTTCTGCTTCTTTTATCTCACATCATATTACCTAGGTGATTAGTCACCAATGTGCAATTTAAGACTAAGTCAGTTTATTAGAAATAAATTAATTTTGCTTTTCGATATAATGTGTTTTATAGGCCCCAATATGGGAGGTAAATCAACATATATTCGCCAAACCGGGGTAATAGTTCTCATGGCCCAAATTGGGTGTTTTGTGCCATGTGAGTCGGCAGAAGTGTCCATTGTGGACTGTATCTTGGCTCGGGTAGGGGCTGGTGACAGTCAATTGAAAGGAGTCTCCACCTTCATGGCTGAAATGTTAGAAACTGCCTCTATTCTCAGGTGAGTGCATTTCCCAGTCCCCTGAAAATGGAAATGAATGTCTCTGTCCTATGAGAAGTACATTTGCAGATTCACCTTAAAACATCTGAGGACTTTTATCTAGTGTAACTGTTTGTTGTGAGCTTTTTGTACTTTATATTATCTTAAAAGCGTGATTGGTGATAGTTGTGGAAAGCTTTGATTTTTAAAGGTGTCTTCTTAAGGTTTCTGGTAGTTGTTCACCTTATATTTCCCCACTACCATGCTTTCCTGCACTGTTCACACTGCCTGGAATGTTCCTCCTTGCCCTTTGCCCAAGTCCTTTCCAAGCTTTACAGGCCCTAATGATAGAAATTCTACTTCTTCAGTGATCTCCCCCCGTCCCCCCAACATGAACCTAAGGTCTTGGCTATTTCCTCACTGAACTCTGTCATGTCTGAAATTTATTAAGTTTTTATTTTAGAGGTTACTGAAATCTCTTGTTTTTATTTCACTTTTCAGGAGCTTCTTTAAAGTGTGATCTTGGGGTGGACTGTTAATGTGCTCTATTATGTGTATTATATACTATATTATATAATATACACCTAGGAATTGATGGCATTAGGCCCTTTGAGTTTTGGTGTCCTTAGTAAATTGTGTTGATTATAATTTTTAAAAAATTCCCCTCCTTACATTTGGTAGTATTGTGGCAGGCACACAAATTTTCTTGACCATCAGCCGTGTGACCCACTCACTTGTTCATATTATTATACCCTTGTTCCATCGTCATGTAGTGTTATTATTTTTTTAAATTTTTACTTACTGTTTATAATTAGCGCAAGAGAGAAACATGAGTTTGTTGTTCCACTTATGCATTCCTTGGTTGATTCTTGTATGTGTTCTTATCGGAGATCATACCCACAACCTTGGTGTATCAGGATGACGTTCTAACCAACTGAACTACCCAGCCAGGGCTGGAATTATTATTAATTTTAAATCTTGGTTAATTTGATTTATTCACCTTGTTTCTTCTTCTACCCATTGTTCATATCCATGCCCATTTTTTCTCCTAAAGTTTAGTGCTTTTTATTGACTTTGTTGAAAATTTTAACATTAAAATAATCTGTTGTTTGTGGCATATCTTTTGTTTTCTTGCATTATTATTTTTGGGAAATTTTCCCATAATTTTGTGTTTCAGGTCTGCAACCAAAGATTCTTTAATAATTATAGATGAATTGGGAAGAGGAACCTCTACCTATGATGGATTTGGGTTAGCATGGGCTATATCAGAGTACATTGCAACAAAAATCGGTGCTTTTTGCATGTTTGCAACCCATTTTCATGAACTTACTGCCTTGGCCAACCAGATACCAACTGTTAATAATCTACATGTCACAGCACTAACCACTGAAGAAACCTTAACTATGCTTTATCAGGTGAAGAAAGGTGAGTAGACCACTGGTATACTGAGAATTCAGAGTGTGACAGTGGGAAACTTGCTTGAAATTGTCAGTAATTGTCTTGTTCCAAGTTAGTATGAATTATTGACATTTTTACAGAACACATTTATCTCTTAATTCACACTCTGGGAGCTGAGACACGGTACATCATCTCTGTTTCTGTGTCTTATAGTAGGATCACTCATTCTAAAACAATCACATAAAGAATAATTTATACTCTTTCACATCATCACAGAGGAATTTTATACTGCCTCCCATGCAGTCACATTAGTAACAATAAGCTCTGAAGTTCCAAGGCTCTAGCTTTTACTGTTTAATAAACTATTTATTATGATTATCTCATTAGGTTATGTAATGGTATGTTACATAAACAGGTTCATTTAAAGCTGGGGGTTTCAGAATTCCTGAAATTGTTTATAGTTGTCACATAAGGAATGAGTTATTTGTTGGCATTTCATCCTTTCAGGAAAGCTTGTCATTCATGGGTCTAGCAGCTAATCAGATTACTGAGTTCATGCGGTTGATGTGCTGTATAGCTTTTATTACTTAAACATTTCACCACTCATCAGAATAACTTGTTCAGATGGCTTTCTGATTTTCCATGAACATGTTTTTCTGCATCAGTAGGTTGCACATAAGTGAGATAATTAGTTTTGGTTATTTTATCCTTTGTTATTTATGCTTTAGTAGGAATCCTTTTGAGTTCTGTGTTTGCATTATTATTATCAACATAAAATATAGATACTTTTAGTTGGTCCTGGCATTTCACATAAAGTTGAGGTTTTGCTTTTAAATTATTATGTTTTGGGTGAAATAGAAATGGGTTCAGAACATTTTTTAAAAAACACAGATAAAGTACAGAGAAGATAGGAATAAGTTTTTCCTTCACTGTGGATGCTTATGAACATATGCTCCTATTTTGTTTTTACTTGTTTTTCTTAGTCCCAGCTCAGGAATGCATGGGATATATATGTAGGCCCCCCAGTAATTTACAATTGGTATATAATTGAGGCAAAAATGAAAGCCTCATAATAACTGCGAGCATCATGTGTATTAAACATTTGGAAGGAATACCTTGAGTCAGTTTATTTTCTGCAAATAGAAATGAAGATCATCTACCTAGTCTGTAAATTTACTAATGATTTGGGTCCAAGAATTCCATTGTCATTTGTTTGTAGTAGTTTAGAATCAGAATGAGATTATATAAAATGGTAAGTAACTTTTCTAAGAAAAATATTGTAAATATTTTAATTTACTTTTACTGTTCTTTTTAAATTTATTTATCCAGCCAGTGTTCTGGAGTCACCATTTCTAGAAATTGATGTAGGCAGATTCAGAGGATAGACCATTCACTAATAGTCAGTATATTTTGAATTAAATGCTCCTCTTAATTAGTGACACTTTTACATTTATTTATTTTTCTTAGTACTTTAATTTCTCCCTTATGAAATGAGAAAACCTCAGAGAGATAGACTTGATTAATTTTCTTCAGAATTCAGATATTTGTCTAGGCCTTTGAGGATTATCTGTCAAGCCTTTTCTCTGCTATTTTTATTTTTCTGCTACATTTGTCAAGGATAAAATATAGTACTGTGCCAAGTCATAATCACTTTTCACTGGAGGCTTAATTAAAATGCCTTTATCTCCATTACTATGAAACATTTGGCTAATGTGTTTGAAATAATACAAAATTGACTTTTCTAATGATAAGGTAAGAAGGATAAGTTCCATTTACATAAATTGCTGTCTCTTCCTACTCTGTCCCTCTCCCCACACTCCCCTTCCCACTTTCTTGTAGGTGTCTGTGATCAAAGTTTTGGGATTCACGTTGCAGAGCTTGCTAATTTTCCTAGGCATGTAATAGAGTGTGCTAAACAGAAGGCCCTTGAACTAGAGGAGTTTCAGAATATTGGAGCATCACAAGAAAGTGATGAAATGGAACCAGCAGCAAAGAGGTGCCATCTGGAAAGAGAGGTTTGTGAGATTGATTCTGTAGTTATTTAACCTCTGTATTGTTACACAGATCAGGTCACCAAGATGAGTTACTTTTTCCCTATATGATTGTAATGTGTATTTACTGATCATTCATTATTGGCGTTCACTTACATTTCTTTGCATCGCAAAGAATTCTCTGTATCATTTTGATTTCTGCACTATATAAACATCTGCCTGCTCAAAAGATAACATTTAGGTACCAGATTTAAAAAGTAGGAGAATAGGACTATTAGTCTAGGTTTAAAATAAGTAATTCAGAGGAGTTAATAGATGTCCAAGCAGATCTTTGAATGCTTCATAAATGAATATCAAGTCCAGATAAGTTGTATATTTACTCAGTGCTTAGTTAAGATGACACCAACTAAGTAAAAATAGTTCTTGTCCTCCAGTTGTTTACAATATAGTTGGAGAGATAAGAACAATGAATATGTCATAGTCATAGAGAATAAAGTGGCATATGAAAAATGTTTACTCGTGGAAGTTCTTTGTGGGCAGTCTGTTCGTTCTCATGGGAGAAATGGGCCTTCTCTGAGTGATGGGTGAAATTGAGAGGCTCACACAGAAAGGTACACGCCTAGCCCTGGCCTGTGTTGTTCAATGGTTAGAGTGTCAGCCCGTGCACTGAAGGGTCTTAGGTTTGATGCACAGTAAAGGGCACGTACCTGGGTTGCAGGTTCAATCCCTGGTCCTGGATGGGGGCATGTGCAAGAGGCAACCAATCAATGTTTCTCTCTCACATCTCCCCCCTCCCTCCCTCTCTCTTTCCCCTCCTCTCTTCCTACCACTCTTTAAAAAAAAAAAATCAATGGAAAAAAATATCCTCTGCTGAGGAAGGATTTATATATATATATATATATATATGAAAGGAACAAGCCTGTGCCCAATGTAGTTTTTAAAAATTAAAGGAATAGTAGTTCTCTATAACAATGGAAACAAAATAATCTTAATTCACTACTGCTGGGTTCTGGCAACATGTACTGTGGTATACATTGTGACAACTTGTCACATTTTAAGCTTTTATCCAGTGCATTTTTTGTTGATCTTGAAGGATAGCTGATTGGTACCATAATTGCTGATGTATATGGTTTTTGAGCTTAAAAGGTTTGATTTCATGTGTTATACCTGTAATCAGGAGAAATGTGTTATAGCTTGTTAACACTGGTAGCTTTAAGTATGGAAAATGCCATCCTGAATATGAAATGGTATTGGTATCAGCACCACAGCTCTGAGTGATCTGGGATTAGGTAGGCTCCTTATGTAATCCCGGCTTCCAATTGGAACAGAAGTCATGTTCTTTGATAATAATCATTACAATGTATTGTGAACAATGTTTAAGCTAAAGGGAGACAAAAGTGCACTTGTTCATTAATAGAGAAGTATTTTTTTCCCTTACCATTTCGATATCTACCTTTCTTTCACCTTTAAGGTACTTATTACCAACTGGCTTCCTATGTGAAAAGCAGACCTGCTTCGTATATCATAAAAAACATTTACATAGGGCTTACCCTTTGCCAGGCTCTGCACCTTAACATATTAATACTTTAACTCTCACAACAGCCCTGTGAGGTTGGTAGTATTATCTTCATTTTATGGATGAGGGATGTTGGTAAGGAATTTGCCCACAGGTCATATGGCAAGTAATAAGCATTCTTTAGAATGTTAATAACTGAGAAGTAAAATAAGTTTAAAAAGAAATATCCTTTGTAATGTCTTGCTATAACGAAATATGGTCAACTAAGGATTTTGCTATACAATTCACCGTTGAACAACAGGGTTTGAATTTGTGCAGGGTGCACTTTTACGTGGACTTTTTCAATAAATACTTCAAATATATTTTTCATGACTTTCTTAACATTTTCTTTAGCTAACTTATTTTAGGAATATAGTATATAATACACATAACATACAAAATACCAGTATGTGTTCATTGACTGTCTTTGTTATCAGTAAGGCTTCCAGTCAACTAGCAGGCTATCTGTAGTTAAGTGTGTGTTTTTAAAAAAATATATATTTTATTGATTTTACAGAGAGGAAGGGAGATGGATAGAGAGTTAGAAACATTAATGAGAAACATCGATCAGCTGCCTCTTGCACGCCCCCTACTGGGACCAAGGCTGCAACCAAGGTATATGCCCTTGACCAGAATTGAACCCAGGTCCCTTCAGTCCGCGGGCTAATGCTCTATCCACTGAGTCAAACCAGCTAGGGCTGTAGTTAAGTTTTTGGAGAGTCAAAAGTTATACACAGATTTGCAACTGCCCAGCACTCCTAACTTTCATTTTATTCAAATATGCAGTGCACACTTAAAATGTAAAGAATGTTTTTTAAATACTGTCATGTTTATATAGAAGTCTAATGAAGCAATTTATTATTATTGAATGTGACTTTTAGAAAAGACACTTTGGAGACTAATGGAACGTTCCCATGTTTTTCAGCAAGGTGAAAAAATTATTCAAGAGTTTTTATCCAAGGTGAAGCAAATGCCTTTTATTGAAATGTCAGAAGAAAACATCACAATGAAATTAAAACAGCTGAAAGCTGAGGTGATAGCAAAGAATAATGGGTTTGTAAATGAAATCATTTCACGAATAAAGGTTACTACGTGAGAAAATCCCACTAATGGAATGAAGATAATATTGATAAGCTGTTGTCTGTAATACTTTTATATTGTTTTATATTAATCCTTTTTCCATAGTGATGGCAATTGATGCCCATGGCATACCAACTTAATAAAATATTTAGTAATACTTTGCTCTACCTGAGTACATTTTCAGAGATCTTTATTTTGAAAAGTAACTGAGGAATACTTAAAGGGACATGGGTAATAGTATACAATATGTTGAATTTATAAATAAAATTATGTAGTTTGTGAAATTTGATGTGTATTGTATTTCTTTATAATAGGACTTCTATGCATATTTTATTCCCAAATGATATGGAAGAAATAAATAGCACAGAGACTTTGTAAAATAAAGGATCTTAAAGCAGAAGAAACCAAGGAAATCCTTTCCAGTGATTTCCCCGGAGTGTCCGTCTGTTGGCAGGAGCCAGGTTGGATGCATACACATTAGCTAGGGAACTTACTGTAAATCCAGAGTCCTAATGTGATCCTCTGCCCTGTCTGCCATTCCTCTACCCCCAGTCTGTGGAGAGACTTAAAAATCTGGATTTTAACAAAATCTTTCGTATTGGGAAACCTGATTTAGTCTATCTATTTCTCTTGTTCTACAGGTTAGTGACTGGCCTTGCTGAATATGGGGGAAAGGGCAGTCTTGTAATAAATGGTGAAGGGATGATAGCTTATCCATATAGGAATAAAATGAAATTGGATCTTATCTAAAAATCAACTCCAGTGAATTTTTGATCCAAATGTACAAGGCAAAACTACCAAGCTTATAATGTTTAGTTTTATAAATTTTATAGAAAGTAATACAGGAAAATATTTTTATGACCTTGACTTTGTGAGAGATTTAAGTCACAAACACCGTAAAATTTGATACACTTAGCTATATTGAAATTAAGAACTTCTTTTCATTAAAAGGCGTGACAAAGACTAGATCCATAATGGGAGAACATATTGTATTACATAAAATATCAAAGGATTTATATCCAAACTATATAAATAATTCCTATAAAATCACTAAGAAAATGGGCACTTAAGAGTCTTTACAAAATTTTAGAGTCTTAATACAACTCAATAACAAAAAGACCAGTTAAAAAGCAAAGGATCTGAATAGGTCCTTTTCCAAAACATATACAAATGGCTAATAAGCACATGAAAATATGCAGATTGTCATCAGGGAAATGCAAGTCAAAACTGCAGTGCGCTCTCACTTCGTACCCATTAGCATATCTAGAGTCAGAGAACAGGTATTGAGGAGGATGTGAAGGAGCTCACACGCTGCTTGTGGAAATGTAAAATGTTGCGGTTGCTTTGGAAAACAGTTTGGCATTTCCTCAAACGTTATCATGATCCAGCACTTCGATTCCTAGGTGTATATCAAGAAAAACATGTCCACACAAAAACTTGTACACAAATGTTTATAGCAGTATTATAATAGCAAAAAAATTGAATATAACCCAAATGTCTACCGACAGGAATAGATATGCAAAATGTGGGATATCAATACAATGGAATGTTCTCTGTTAAAATAGGCATGAAGTACTGATACATGCTACAACTTAGATGAACCTTGGAAACATTAGTGAAGAAGCCAGTCACAAGAGTTTGTTTATGATTCCATCCATGTGAGAGTCCAAATAGGGAAAGTGCAGAAACAAAGTAGATGAACAGATGCATAGGGCTGTTGGGCAGGTGATGGCTGGCTAGGGAGGTGATAGCTAAAGGGTATGGGGTTTCTTTTTGAGATAAAAATGTTCTAAAATTGACTGCTGATGTTTGCACATATCTGTACATATACTAACTAAAAGTCATTGAACCTTACACTTTAAATGTGTACAGTGTATATTATGTGAATTATATCTCAAAGCTTGTTTTTCAAAAAGTTCAGGCACTTTACCCAAGAGGAAATCTAAATGGTTCATACATTTAGATTTAATCACCAGTCAGAAAAATGAAAACCATGCTTGGCTCCCCCTCAGGACTCTGCCCAGATTGACAATCATTTTAAGTGTGTCCGCCAAGTGTTGGTGAGGATGTGGGACATCTCTGCTGGTGGGAATAATCCTATATAATAAAAGCGTAATATGCAAATTGACCAAATGGAGGAACGACCAGTCAGTGGGGGGCAGGGCTGGTGAGCAGGCAGCGCCAGGCCAGCCAAGGTGCGTGCCAGTGGGCAGAGGGAAGGAACGGTAATGGTGGGGGGGGGGGGGGTTGACCAGCAGTAGTGGAGGGGTGATGGGGGGGGGGGCGGGCAGCACCGCCCCCTGATTTTGTCCTCGCCTCCTGCAGAGGGAGGCCAGACTGCGGTCTAGGCCCGCTCCCCACAGGGCTAAGCCGTCAGTAGGACATCCCCTGAGGACTCCTGGACTGTGAGGGCATAGGCCTGGGTGAGAGACCCCCCCACCCACCCACCCAGTGCACCAATTTTTGTGCACCGGGCCTCTAGTATAATAAAATTTAGAATATGACCCAGCAATTCTGCTCCTAGGTGCATACTCTATAGAGGTGCTTGTACACATTGTGCTATGATGTATATATAAGAATGGGAACAGCCTAGCTATGAAAAATGAATGATAGCTGCATAAAACAACATGGATGGTATCTTAAAAACTAAGCAAATGACAGATAAGGAATAATACAGTTTGTCCCATTCATATGAGTGGGTTGTCTAAGGATGGGGAGGGAGATTCTAGAGCAGCGGTTCTCAACCTGTGGGTCTCGACCCCTTTGGTGGTCGAACGACCCTTTCACAGGGGTCGCCTAAGACCATCGGAAAACATATATAATTACATATTGTTTTGTGATTAATCACTATGCTTTAATTATGTTCAATTTGTAACAATGAAATTGAGGGTCACCACAACATGAGGAACTGTATTAAAGGGTCGCGGCATTAGGAAGGTTGAGAACTGTTCTAGAGCATTAGAGCATTCTGTTTTGACCGGTGCTTGTTTTATAATTGTTGTAAAATGATATAATTATGTTTTAAGAACTTAAAATTAGGTATGACAACATGAAAATTAAAGACCAATGAGCCCTTTAAAATGCTCATCTTAATTTACCATGCCCCCCTTTTAAAAAAAAATATTTTTTTTATTGATTTCAGAGAGGGAGAGAGATAGAAACATCAATGATGAGAGAGAATCATTGATCGGCTACCTCCTGCACACTCCACACTGGGGATTGAGCCCACATCCCGGGCATGTGCCCTGACTGGGAATCGAACCATGATTTTCTGGTTCATAGGTCGATGCTCAACCTCTGAGTCACACTGTATCATACCCTTTTTTAAAACATCATTAGAATGAGTTACAGTAGTTTTTCTTTTATGAATACCAAAAGCTTGGGGAGAAGATAAACTTACAGAGAAAGAATTTAAATGTGGACATTTTTATTGGTTTACAGTCATTTAGTCGCTTGTGTGAAAGACTTATATAACTAAAAAAAAGCAGTTTCAACATTCATCATCTGGTTAGCTGTGAAGGAGTGTTTTTTGACTGCTGCACAAAAGTACGTATAAAATGGTGGTCAGTCAGTCCATGGATTTAGTTGTGAGGGCTACAGAATTGGAGGGAGGAAGAGGGTGTTGATTCTGAGAAATCATGTCTATCGGGTTCTGAAAAATCAGATGACGTTCATTTCTCCCAAAGAGACTTTGTGTTTAATTCTAAGATCTTTTTGAGAATGAAAAGCACATAATAGACCTGTTACGATGTTTCAGATGTAAGCTGTGCTTATTACATGGATATGCTAATGAATCAACTGGACCAACAATTAAAGTCTCCTTCCTTTTGGAGTGTTGGATGTAAGTAAAGCAAAGATAAACTAATTTCTGATCTGTCAAAAGACGTTTGGATTTTAAAATTTTAATTATAATGTTTCTTTTTCTTCACTCAAACATGAACTTGGAAAATACCACAATAAAACCAAATATATTAATATCCAAAAGTTTCTAACTCAACCATACTTTATTATGAAATCTGTTGGCCAAACAACCACATTTCTGAGAAAATACTTTTTTAAAAAGTATATATTTGTTATTGATTTCAGAAAGGAAGGGAGAGGGAGAGAGAGAAACATCAGTGATGAGAGAGGATCATTGATCAGTTGCCTCCTGCACGCCCCCTACTGGGGATCAAGCCCACAACCCGGGCATGTGCCCTTGACAGGAATTGAACCCAGGACCCTTCAGTCCACACGCCAACGCTCTAGCCACTGAGCCAAATCAGCTAGGGCTTTTTTGGGTATTTTTAAAAGCACCAAGAATCCATCCAAGATGCAATTATTTTGGTAATTTAATTTTTTTTCCTTAAAATACTCTGTAACAGAACAGAAGAAAGATGTTTTAGGTTATATTAAAAAAATAACATTTTCTCCTTAAACTCTCAATGTTCCACACACTAAGCACATCCTGTTAGACTTCTTGAGTATTAAATGCATCTTCTATCCTTGGTCTTTCTGCATTTAGCTTTTTTGGGAAGTATGTTTTTACCCACAGCATATGGTATGAGCTGCTGATTCAGTACTGAGTGGCTCTTTAAGCTTGTTAGTTTTTCTGTTGATTAAAATGGATACACAGAAGAAAACGGTGTGCAGATCAGTCAGAAGAAAACCAGTCCCTGGTCTGAAATAAACTAAACAATGTTAATCAGCTTATGGGGAAAACAAATAAGTAAAGGGAATTTTCATATACAAAGAAGACCTTGTACTGCCTTCCTAGTGTGTTTGGGTTAAGGAGATAGAGTGGCCAGGGAAGGTGATGAAAATGCCCAGAACGATACACACATTTTTAGACTAAAACTGGAAGTGGAGCCCAACTTAATAGTTTTCTGCCTGTTCTCCATATTCTCCTTGATATATAGAGCTGCTGCTTTCTCTGGTTGTGCTGCTTTAGAACTTGCCTGTTTTGCCAGTTTTCCGATGTCTGAGCATTCTGGTGCAGTGCTGAGCTAGAAAATGTCCCACTGCCATAGCAGTGTCTCCGGTTCTCTGACCGGGGATGGGAAGCCCTTGTCTGGCCTTTGCACAGCAGCTTCCCTACCTCCCTGGAAGCAGAGCGTCCATGGTGTCAGACAACATTCAGAACATGGTCCAAATTCAATGTAAGTTGGCATATTTTTGCTTTGGCATGTGGTTTGTCCAAACAGAAGTGCCCACACACATCTTTCACCCAGCGATCTGGGAAATTCTGCAGTGGCATAACAGTCTGGGATGTTGGCGGCCTTCACTGGACCATCCTGCTCTTATT